GGCGGGGAGAGCAGAGGAGTGGGGAGGTGAAGAAGGATTCTGGAAGAGGAGGGGGATGGTGTCTTGGGAATCTGCAACACATGAGAGAATTCTTTTTTGTGTAAGTGAAGAATTTGTGCAATTCATTGACTTCCCCACTCTCACTCACTTTTCTCCTTCTTATCCTTGCTGGGTAGCTCACTCTGAAGTATGCACCACCGATGTCTAGGGGCATCTTTTCTTTCCCACTATGTGTGGGTGGTAGGTCTAATGGAGCAGCTCAGAGGCTTCTTGGATATGGACAGGACAAGAGAGGGCTAGAGATAGAACTGCTGGGCCAGGAGGAAGGGAAGGTCAGTGATCCCACATATTCCACAAGGATGGCACAAAAGTCCCTATCAGTCCTGGCAGGCTGACTGAATAAGGGAAAAAGGCATCTTCTGCTTACTGGAAGACACTACTCATTCTGAGTATTGTCTTTCTTGAAATTTACAGAACCATACTCAGCCCAGTCTTTTACAAAACAAATACGGTTGCTATCAGATCATTTCTGACTCATGTGTTTGGTATTCTCAGGTGTCATTGAGTTGACTGTGACTCAGTGACCCTGTGGACAGTGGATCTGAACTCTGCCCAGCCTGTGCCATTCTCATCTCTGCAGCACTTGTGCCCATTGTCACTCTGTCAGTCCATCTTATGGAAAGTCTTCTCCTCCCTCCTTCACTGAACCTCCACTTTTCCAAGCATGATGTGTTTTCCCAAGGACCAACCCCTCCTAACAGAATGCCTAAAGTAATGCCCCTGTAAGACAGGGTAGAACTTCCCTAAAGGGTTCCCAAGGCCACAGCCTTTACAATAGACTACAACATTTTTCTTCTACCAGGCACACACACATACAGAAGGATCAGAGAGGGAAAAGGGAAAGAGTAAATACAGAAAAATATTCTCCTGTGCAGAAAGACTACTAATGACTATAAAAAGAGTGGTAGAATTATTAAATTTTTACCCGCAATTCCCATTATAAGAACTCATTCAAACAAGGGCCATCAGTAGATGTTGACTGAAAAGTTATTAAGAGCACAAAATCCCAGCAGTTACAAAGAATCACTTTGCAGATTACCTATTAATTGCAGAGGTGAAAAAGTTTGCCCCTATAGAGGAAAAAGCTGGCTGTCCCCACCTTAACCAGTGACCAGACTTAACCTTGACAGGTAGTTCCTGTACACCCATTGCAGTTAAGTCAAGGCTGACTCAGTGATCCTATAGGAGAGAGTGGAACTGTCCCATAGAGTTTCTGAGATTATATATCTTTATAGGGCAGACTGTCACATCCTTCTCCCACAGAACAGCTGGTGGGTTCAAACCACTGACCTCTTAGTGAAAAAGCACTTAATTGTTGTGCCACCAGAGCTCATTATCACTGATTGTAGGACCCTGACTCATACCTTTTGATGGAAGATAATAAAAATACCATAGCGGAAAAAAGGTCTAACCTGAATTTTATAAACGAGGATATATAAATTTTAAAAAGTAGAAGAGGGGTTCTTTCCATGTTAATTTGAGTTTTGTGAAGACATTTAGCCAAATGCATTAGGTTTGGCTAGATTCCAGATCTTTTAAAAAGCTATAAAAAAAAATCATTTCTGGTGATGGAAAAACTTTGAATGTCAGTTGTTTGTTGGGTAACACTGATTTGTTGTGTATTTTCTTAGATATCATAATGATATGATGGTTCTGTAAGAGAATGCTATTATTCATAGAATAGAGGTCACATGTCAAATTTTTTTTCTATTTGTGTTGTAAAAATACATGTAACACAATATTTGCTGATTCAACATTAGGTGTACAGATTATTGATACCAATTATATTACCATGTTTTGCACCCATTAGATTTTCCAGATTAAAATTTTTTCTCTTTTGCGAGAAAATTGGTATTGAGATTTGGATTTAAACAGAATAACACCTATACTGTAATTAACAAAAACAAGCTTAATTTCTTTTTTCTTCTCCAAAGCATCTCAGGTATCTATATAATCAAATCTTATTTATACTCTGATGAAATGTCATGTTATTGGAGATTCACAGGCTTTGGGGAGACACGTTCATTGGAATTCTCACTTGGCCACCTGTAGCTAAGTGATCCTTACAGCTCTGTCCATTAGTTGTTTTGTTATTTTGGGGGTTTTTTTTCCTATCCATTAGTTTTATGATCCTAAAAACTGGGATGATAACAGTGTAGTATTTTAGTGACATAATCTATGGCACAAGGCTCCTCACAGCTTGGGGCACATCCTAAGTATTTAGGAAATACTGATTATTGGCTCCCCACACCTTGGCCTTTAGATACTCACTGACTTCTTGCCATTGAGTCAGAACCAATTCAGAACTGACCCTCCAGGAGGTTCTGGAGACTGTAAAATCGCACCAGAGGAGACTGCCCATTCACTTCTGGGTTCGAGCCACCAGAGAGGCGCCTCACTGCCTTTGGGTTAGCAGCATTACTCCACGAGGCCACCAGAGCTCCCTTGCCTTTCGATACATCAGGACCAAATTAAGTGACAGACCCCATGCAAAGATGTTGGCAGCTGAATGGCCAAAGGCTGTTACTCACATCACAGATTCTATGATGAACAATATTTAGTTAAGGCTGGAATCCTGACTTTTCTGCCACCTTGAGCAGGTTCTCTAAAACTGGGCCTCAGGAGAGATAATATTTCTCTGACAGAGGTGTTACGTGGTTTAAATGAGTTCATGTATTTAAGCTCTGGGTATACAGTAAATGCTCATCCAGCATTGGGGTACCTTCCTCGTGAGACCTACAGGAAGAGTGTAAATACCCAGGACATGGTTTTACTAAGAGTCTCTAGGGTAGTGCCATTGTTTCCTTATCAGACATCTCTCAAAGTTGCCTATTTTCTGTCAACAGTTAAGAGGCTGCAACAAGGTGATTTTCAGACTCCAAACTGTTTCTTAAGGCTTCCTTTTAAGAGATTTACACTTTACCTCAGAGCGGTAGGATCTTTAAGCAAAGCTTCAGGTCCCTGGCCTTCCCTTCTTCTGTTAGATGGTAGAAGAAAGAGTAAGGCATAGTCTCCTGGTCTGATACCAGCAGTTATTCAGGAGGGAGATGGGGCTGGGGTTTTTTTTTTAGTCTTTTCAATTTGACAGGCAAACTAGGACTTTAGATTTACCTCTTGGAAAATCTTCTTAAGAAAAATTATTCATTCACATGGCAGTGGTGTGGGTTTCTTTTTATCTTGTACCTGATTCCGTTTATATTACCATTCATCGTTTCTAATCTGGCTTTTAAAAACTTTTTTTTCTGTTTTGTGGCTTTATTATTAGAGTTACTATGGAGACGGAAGGTTTTCAATTTCTCAGTGAACTTGCCTTGTGTCAGATGATGTGGAGGGCGCTCTGGGCTTCTCCTGGATTCTTGTCTCCATATCGACAGATGTGGCAGCAGAGGGCTAGCTGCCTTAGTGTCTGACCTGGACAGAGAATAAAGATACTCTTGACTCAACTCTTGCTCACATTAGAGCTTGTTGTGGAGAAGGTAAATGATTAGTGATGTTGGGCTCAAGACAGACATGGATTCAAATCCTGTCTCCTCCACTGACTAGCTGTATAACCTTGAGTAGTTTCTTAACTTTTCTGAGCCTCTGTTTTCTCATCTGTAAAGTGGAGATAATAATGGCAT